ATTATAAGTGTATTCTTGCCTTGAAGTACTACGCCCCGGTGATCCATTTTCTGCTTTTGTTCCATCTTTTGCCTTTGGTTTAGTCTGCTTATCGTCACTTGAGTCACTGGAAAACAAACAAACAAAAAAATGTTTTCCCCAAATGAGAAGCGTAGAAGAGTAAAATAAATGGCATTATTACTTTTTTCTTTGGCCAGTCTTTAGGTTCCTTTATACTTAGGCTTACACTAATCCCAGGAAAATGTGATGTTGCTATCTTTAACACTTTTGGTGGTCTAGTGAAAACGTGTTTGGTAAAGCAACTAACCTGAAGGCCTGGATGACCACGGTTCCAAACAAGATGAACAAGGCAGAGAAGATGAGGGACAGAAGAGGCATCATCTCACGCCTGCAAATCATCACAGATGTCTTAGTGCAACAAGACACACTGTATTTGCATCTCAGCAGTGAGGTGGAAGGAAGCTTGCACGCAAATTAAATACTGTTGTAGTGCAATTTTTTTTTTTTTTTACTTCAGAAAATGTTCATCTTTAATGTCTGATTCTTACATATATGTGGAATTACTTCTCAAATCTCAAATTAAACATCAGTTAGAGATTTCTACCTACCAGTTGTTATGCAGAATATCGTCGATGACTTCAGAGAGGTAATCATAAGATGCAAAGATCCATCGGATTACAAACATCTACAGAGTGAGACATTTAGTAACAGGACTGGCGCGTGATATTTACCAAACACTTGGTTAATAAAGAATACTGGGTGCACAGATAAGCATTGCTCAAACCCACTGTTTTTACACAAAGAACATACAGAAGCAAACTCGTTGTTGAGCTCAGGCAGCACGGCGTCATGGATGAGGATGGACGGGTCCTTCTGAAGTCGCTCCAGCTCCTCCAGAAGACGCTGCCTGTCTTCCTCGCTGCCGTTCCAGGCCGTCACTGGCTTGAACAAGGCCTTCCCTGCAGCATTACGCCTCTCCAGGATCACCACCTGAGTAAAAAAACGAATAATAACACTTTTTATAGGAGTATGACTTATGAAGTCAAATGTCTTTTCATAAGACTTCTTTACAACATAAAAGTGGATCATTTATAAAGGCAGGGGTGCGTTGTTTTTCTTACAAATGTCCCTAGCTGTTTGTTATGGCAGTGAGGAATAATCCTTGAAATCATTACTTTGTCTGGAAAATATGTGCATTACATTACATACATTATTCAAACAATATACTGAATTAATACCCAACAATTCTCAAATCTCCATATATGAGGTAGATTCACAGTGGAACTGGCAGCTGAAGTGTTAGGACACGTATGAGTGTACCTGTGTGGTGACTGTGCACTGTCCTTGTTCTGCATGAGAATGTCGCACAGAGGTTGCTGTAGCCGATGGTACACATAGGCAAACCTCACAACTTCCTTGGTATTGGTAGAGGCAAATGAGAGAAACACCTGGTTTGCTAAAGAAAAGGTCTCTTCATCACCTGTGATCAGCAGGACACAGAATCTGATGGGGGAAGGAAAGACATTAAAGTGACTCATTGAATGCAAACTACCTGAAATAAATTACATCAAAAAACGAATTGAGTTTGGTCTCATATTTGAATTGCTTACTTCCTGCGTCTGTGGAACTGTTTGACAGGACAGAGCTCATCAAAGAGCTTCTGGTTGACGAGCCGTGGCACAAGCAGAAATTTATTGTTTGACATGAACTCATCAATAATCTGCTTTTTCATTCCTTTAGCCTGCAGAGAACAAACATAACAACAAAGACAAAGTATGAGGTGACATTTCAGTGAATAATTACATCAAACCAGTCAAAAAGAAAGTGAAACTACTTTCTTTTCTCAAGCTCCCTGCTTCTGTGATTTACCTGGATAATGTCAGCGGGCTTGTCAATGTTCTCTTTGAAGACCAGCATGGTTGGAGCGTACGTGTTAATATTAAACTGTTTCTGCAGATTGGCAGTCTCTGCAAGGCCCTGGTCCACATAGCCAAACTGCAAGTAGTCCTTATAAGCAAACGCTGTCAGCTATGGAGATGCAGAGAGCTGTGTTAGTGATGCAATTACTGTCAGCGGCACCTGAGATACATTTCACATAAAAACCAGCAAAGCAAGAGCCTACTTTGTATAGCAGAGGGACTACAGGCACTTGGTCGAACAGGAGCACGTGTGGCCTGTTGAGCTCATGCCAGCTGTTCAAGAACTGCAGGTCATTCTTGTCTGTGACCTGAAATACAGAAAATGCAAAATGTCTCCGTTATAAATCTGTTCCATCTGTCTACATTTTACATAGAAAGCAACTTTTTAGTCATGCTTACTAGTAATGCACTGCATGCATATGCAATGTTTATCACAAGACAGGCAGATATTTACCCGCTCCACAAGTCTCTGAGGAAGAAGGTCTTCAACAAACTGCCTCAGGTGCTCCTTTGCTACAGCGTAATGAAAAAATGTAATTTTGCCGTTGATGACACCAAGTATTGATGGGGTGCGATGAGCACCAAGATGATTGGCTAACCGTCTCTCATAGCCAACATCCACAACACCTATTCCCACACCTGCAAAGACAGGATGTCAACAGACATGCACAGATCAGTCTTTTCAACTCGCCCTATGCAGGGCTGCTGCATAACTTTGACTGATTTATAGCTTCATTCCAAACCTAGAGTCTCCATCTCCTGCACCACCTCTTTCCAGACAGGCTCGATGTGGATGCAGCTGAAGCACCAGTCAGAGGTGATCTTTATCAGGTATGGCCTCTTGTAGCTGTCAGGCACCACGTCGTTCACATACTGGTTAAAGTGCAATATGTACTTGCTGTCAGCAAAGTCCCTGTGGTTCTTGCTGTTGAAGGGAAAGTTGAAGAAGGACTCGTCAAAGTAAAAGCTGTCGTGACGATGACCATTTCGACCACTGCCGTATGGCTGGGTGTCATCTGTCTGCCCGTAACGGTCATAATTGGCACGTTTGTCCTCACTGGACAGGATCTAGATTTTGGGTAGAACAAATGTCAGTATGGCAGAAATCTTCCTCTCAAGCATACCTAACTGGCTTTTATCACAGCTTACATACACATCCCACATGATACAAAAGGTTATTAATATATTGATGAATTCCATTTTCAAAAAATACTAACCTCATAAGACTTGGTAATCTTGATGAACATGTCCTCAGCACCTGGATTTTTGTTTTTGTCAGGATGCCTTGAGAAGAAGACGCTCATTAATACTTGAATGACTTCTATAAAAACAGGTCTCTGTCCTGGGCAAATATTTACCATTCTTTTGCAAGACGCTTATAGACTTTCTTGATCTCAGCCTGGCTGGCACTCCTGGTTACGCCTAAGATTTTGTATGGGTCCATCTCAGGCCCAGCGTGGGTTGCTCCTGTCAGCAGCACTGAGAGGACCACCACAACAGCCAGCTGCACAGACATCTTTGACCCTGCCATCACAGATACCTTTAACACATCAGAAGAACCATCAGGTTAAAGTGGATTCAATCTGAGGAATGATCAGACCTGGAATCATGACACAGCCTTGAGCTGACTAGCACATCTGAAACAGCTTTTCCTCCATACTGACACTAGCCTTGTAAGGATGCAAAATGATGAAGACAAAATGGCATTAAAGTTACAGCATGCTAACCACAGAAGCTAGGCAAGCTGGGTAATATGAGTCAGCTAATTAATACAGAAACGGACATTACAATATCATAATACTGCTGGCATGTAACTGGGCTGTGACATTAACGTTATTCCTCGAAGATAAAAAACGTTCATGCAGTTTTTTCACTAGGGTTTGCGTTGCTACAGTGGCTAAGTAAGCTGTCTCACCGCCAACAGCTCTAACGTTAACGCTTTATTCCCAGTCACCTCAAGCAGAAGCAGTCAACCGGCTCTACGCCACATATTTGGTGGCTTTGATGTTCTTCATCTTGTTGCTTAACGCTGTTGTGAAGAGACAGCGAAATGCAAAGGGTGTGTTCAGCAGCATCCTGCAGTTCCTCCAGGGGAAGCTCTTAACCTGCTGTTGCGAAGCAGGAGAAGAAGGGGGGGGGGAGGCCAGTGTCGAAATGCATTTCGGGAGATTGAGTATATGGTGACATTTTGTTTTTCGTTTGTGTGTGCTTGGTTTTGTTGTTCGTCGCGCCGCGGTTTTTTCGTGTGAATGCTTCACCGTATGATGGCCGTGTGGCAGCGGCGCGCGGGCATTAAAATCAAACGCACTTAGTTTTTTTTTTGTCTTTCTGCTCTCTCAGTGGACCAATCACTGACAACGCTGATGTAAACAAGGAACTGGCTACTGCAACCGAGCACAAATAAGAGAAATGAAAGGTAACTTCTGACTCTTGAACAGGAACAAGATACAATTCCCTTTTACAAAGGAGTGGGATCTTTACACACCGACTGACTGTAATCGTAACAAAATGTGTTAGCGACAGATTTTACTATGCCTCTTTGTCTCCCTCGTGGATGTTGTTAGTATTGGAGAATGGAGGAAATACATCGGAAGATTCTTCAGCGCAACAGGACCAATCTCGTGAGAGACTTGGACCCATTAAATCTCTACGATGGCCTTCTTGAAAAGGAAATTTTCACCCAGGACATGATCGAAGACATACGGGTAAGACAGCTGTTTAGGTCACGGCATTGGGTTTCAGGTTCAGGTGTTGTTTGTGGTGGGGTGGTTGTGAACGCTCAGAGAAAATTAGTTGCTTGTACACACCTGTTACTGTTTGTCCTGTCAGAGCTCTGGGACCAGACGAGACCAGGCCAGACAGTTAGTCCGGGACTTAGAGACCCGTGGGAGTCGGGCCTTTCCATTATTTCTGGAATGCCTTCAGGAGACGGGTCAGCACAGTTTGGCAGAGCTCCTGCAGAATGGAGCTCCAGCAGTTCAACCACAGCCTGCAGCACCCACTCAGGTTGTTCACCCTGTTGTCTTGCCCCTCCCAATCTGTAAGTGTGCTAATACAATGGTATATTTCACGAATATTAAAACTGTAAAAATAGCCAATGTAGGCAAATGATTACTATAAAGATTTCTGTACTCTCTGGTCTTGTCATGTGGAGACTTTGGTGTAATGTGTTGCTCATGTATGTGCTCTTTGTTTCTCTTATAGCCTCTCCAATGGATGTTGATAAGCAAAGAAAAGATGATGTCCCTGTCTATCCAGTACAGAGACCCCATACTACTCCCAGTCCATGTAAGCTATGTGATTTATTTGTACATATTGGTAACAGTCTGGTAAGGTCCTTAATGCTTAGCACATATTGATGCTTATGTCACAGCACCTGAAAGGGAGTACATAAGACCAAGTCCCCAAGGCAGAACTCGACAGGATAGTATTCAGGTAAGGATGCACTCAACATCAGAAAGACAAAGGTGCTGTAGAGGAAAATTGTCAGTGCTTTGTTAAATGATGCGCATCTTATTCTGTTTCCTTTGTCTGTGTATGTGTGTGTCAGTGCTACAAAATGGATGCCAGCCCATGCGGACATTGCCTCATCATAAACAACGTGGAGTTTGAACCTCAGAGCGAGCAGAGCAATCGCGAAGGGTCCAACATAGACTGTGACAAGCTGGAGAGAAGATTCAAGAAACTGAACTTTATTGTGGACGTTAAGTCCAACCTGAAGCAAAAGGTAAGACTCGTTTCTTACTTTGTGAAAACCACGTGTAACGCTTTGAGCGCTTTGGTTGTAACGTTTGTAAAACAATTATCTCTGCGTTTCAGCAAATCAAACATGCACTGTCAGTTTTGTCTAAGAAGGACCATTCACAATATGACTGCTGTGTTGTCATCATACTGTCCCATGGGGCTGAGGTAAGACATGTTTTCATTTTCCTATCAAATGCTACATCTCTGACCTACTCAAGTTCAGACCCAGATTACCCGTAACACCTAATGTATGCTCACATTTATGTTTATAGGTGAGTCACAGCCGCTTCCCTGGTGCTGTGTATGGTGTGGACGGACAGTATGTCCCAGTTCAGCACATCACAAACTACCTCAATGGCCAGCATTGTCCATCGTTACAGAGCAAACCCAAACTTTTCTTCATCCAGGCCTGTGGAGGAGGTAGCTAACATTTAACACACTGTTGAATAACTCAAACTAACAATCCTACAACATTTAAAGCTTATGCATGCACTTAAAGTGGTCTCATAGGGCAACATTTGTTTTTGTCCTTGAGGTGAAAAAGACACAGGATTTGAGGTGTCGCCTAATGAGGTCCAACCATCCATCGGTGGGACTGATGATCAGATGGACGCCATTCCAATGTCGTCCAGCAGTGACTCTCTGAGCATGTCCGATGAACCGGACGCCAGAGCCACACTGCCCACCCCGAGTGACATTCTGGTGTCCTACTCTACTTTTCCTGGTGTGTTTGTGTCTCAATGTCTTTGTGTTGCATTCATGCGTCTGTGTTTATTTTGATTAATAACACACTTGTCAAGTCAGAGCTATAGATAGACTTGACTTGCAATCTTCCTAATGCCCCTTTGACAATGTGACAAATACAGGTTACGTGTCTTGGAGAGACACCCAGTCGGGTTCCTGGTATGTCGAGACACTGGACTATATTCTTGAGGAAAATGCTGCTACCCATGACTTGTCCACAATGTTGATGATGGTGAGCTTCTTATTGTACTACTTATTGTAACAAAAGTAACTGGGGCTCTTTTTTTAAATTCCCTTGACCATTTAGAGCTTTTTAATTTAAACATAGACACATCTGATTATTGACTGTCCTTATTTCCAGGTCAACAATGAAGTCTCCCAAATCTCTGCAAAAGGGCTCTACAAGCAAATGCCTGGTTCCTTTAACTTCCTCCGCAAACTTCTCTATTTTCAAAGCCAGCCATAAACGAAGAGTTCATTTAACACTTCTTAGTTTCACTTTCAGGGAATGCTATGTATGTATGGTATGGAGTAAAATTTCTTGGGCTTATGTCTCTGGCAGAGTTGCAAAGTGAATGAATTTGCTTAATTGTGGTTGTACTTTTTAGTGGCTTAATCATGTCTTACTGTACATTTCTGTTGTTTGTCGTGTCTTGCTGTTTTTCAATTAAGGTTTTTAACTTTAATTGTTTTTGATATCCTTGCTGTCTTATCAACACATAGCAGCTGTACATTTTCAAGAGTGGACAATCAACATAATGTTCAATGTGTACTCTGCAAATCTATATAAAATACTTTGGTGACTCTCATTTCAGGTCTCTTTAATGCACTGATTTTGTTAAGAAGTGACTGAATGTAGAAGCATTTCATATTCTTTGACTGATCTTCTGCCCATTTATACAGCTATTTTCTACAGATGCTTCATCCAGCTGGTAGCATTCACTGTGCTACAGTTACTTTAATGCAGTAATGAGTGATTGAGTGAGTCGTCTGACATTTTCACCACCATATGTCATGTCTAAATCTAATAATGTGTACATACTGTTCCAGTGGTTAGAGTCCACTGGACGGATAGCCACTGGAACAATACTGCAAGCACAGCAACAAAACACATTCGGCTTGTGCTCATAGACAGTTCCTTAACATATTGGTGAGGGCATAACCATTCTGTAATAAAGGGCTGTCCCAGCCTGAAGTACTTCTCTCAGTAGTGACACACATTAATCTTCACCCACCAGTAGTATTAGCATTGACACCTTTCTGAAAGTTGGAGGAAAATTATACAAATAACATATGTATTACACTATGTTAGAATTAACATAGAATCTGTTGGCATCATAAGTGTGCTAGTGTTGCTGCCTGTGCTAGCACTGAATTACATTATGTGAGACTGATAGACACTGCAAGTTAAACATTATTGTACTGTACTACACAAAATACTTGAGATCTCACAGATGCCCTCTCTTGAGTCTTTTACTTCCCCACACTGCCACCGTGGGTCTCCATAAAATTTGAAATTTAGTAAAATGTGTATTTCAGTCACCTCAGATCAACACACACTATTTCAAAAAATATTTCCAATATCCTAAACAATTAAAACACTATCATGAGATAAACATCTCCATGATCATACCAAATCGGGGTCCCCGGTAGCATTTAGGTATTTAGGGAACTTTAACATGAAAACACTGGGAGTCCCTTTGTTGGTAAGATAGAGTCAGCCCCGTATGGCTCTAATTCTTCAGTTAGGAAACCTTTAATTAATTCAGCCATTGTCTTGCCTTATTATCATGTTTTTAGGTCTACAGAAAAACAGAAACTTTATACATTACAAATGCCAAATACAATTCAGTTTCTAAATATGGCAGGATGGCAATGCGCGTCTGTCGGTCCACTGACTGGCTGGTTGATTCCCCGGTAAAATGTCTCAACAACTATTGGATGCACTTACGGATTTCCATGAAATTTGGGAAAGATTTCCAGGTTGCCTGGAGGATGAAGCCAACTGATTTAAAGGTTCAGTGTGTAATATTTAGGAGGATGAATTGACAGAAATGCAACAGAAGGTCCATAACTTTGTTTTCGGTGATGTATAAAGACCTTACATAATGTTATGTTTTTATTACATTAGAATAAGCCATTTTCACCTACATACACGTCCATTTACGTGGAAATTGCCATGTTGCACCGCCATGTTTCTACAGTAGCTAACATTTAACACACATTTAACAGTGTGTTAAATGTTAGCTACATCCAGTCAACATGGATGCATCTTTGTAGAAGCATTTTCATCAAGCTATTTTACCATATTTGCTCATATTAACATTATACAATGTGTATCAGGCCAATTACTTGGCTATTTTTTGTTTTGAAATTAAGAAAGACCTTTACCTAAAGCTGTTTTTCTGTGTGAATCCATCCATCCATCGCCAACCGCTTATCCTGCGTACAGGGTCGCGGGGCTGGAGCCTATCCCAGCTTGGGCGAAAGGCGGGGTACACCCTGGACAGGCCAGTCCATCGCAGTCTATGTGAATCTAATGAGAATTTTTCTGGTTACCAAATAATTATTTATATTATTATTAAACTGTTAATAACTCTGGGTCTTAAATCGTCTTTGGAATTTCTGTTTTTCCTTCTTTTTCTCCTCTTTTGATATTTGTTGTTCTGTTTGACAGTTTTTTTTCATTCTGTGTTTCTTTGCTGCAGTGGCTTTGTTTCTTTCCCAACAAAAGAAATCCATATTGTTTGCACTCTTTTTGGCCAATTAACTCTTCAGTGGAGCCAACCAGGATTTTGCTCCCATGTCTGCCCCAATCAGGTTATGCCTCGTTTGTTTTTAGTCTTTGTTTTTGTTTTGTTTTTGACAACCACTGCATTCCAGGTTCTCATGTCAAAAGAGCATTGGGAAAGCATACCATTTGTGCCAATTGTCTCCAGTCATCCTGACAAAAACATTGCCTCAAGTTTTCCAAAACAAGTCCTGCATAGGATTCTCTGCACTCACATCAGATTCTCTGTCATAAATGTGCTTTATTTTATTTGTCTTATAGTAAACCTTAGCTCAGATGTGCACTGTGCTCTCTTGTATTTTCTGAGAACACACCTGCTATAGTTATTTCAGTCTGTCTGAAGCAGTCTGTCTCTAAAATCTGCTGCCTGTTGCAGTCTGATTGTGGTAAAAGCAGCATTTTAGTTCTATAGCACATGATAATAGTTTATTATCTTTATTTATCAAATGTTAATTATAATACAAATGTTTGTACTATTGTTTTTGTTGTCTGGTTATATGTTTTATTTTTTAACAGTGTTCGCCTTTTGATGCAATACACATGTCAGACAAAGCAGGCATCAAAATTAAATGTAAAATTGGCTCCCTGACACACTGTTCACATCAGACTTCACTAATCTGAGCATTTATGGTCACACAAGCAACTAAGGAGAAAGTCACAAGGGTATAAGGACATGAGAACATCCATTTTGTATTACTGTTGTTTTCTGCTTGTAGAAATATCTTAATCTTGAGTTGTATTGCACACAATGTACCTCTCCAGCACAGAGTAGAGAAAAGAGCTGTCCGCCTAGAGGGCATGAGGGGGAGCGCACAGCATCCCAAATAAAAAACACTCTGACAAAACACTCAATACAGATAGAGTCATGGAAAAACGAGAGACGTCCTACAGATATAAATAAATGAAAGATAAGGAGTTAATAGATAATTAGATATTAATTATATTATAATTAGAACATGTTCTCTTTAAAATTCAACATTTTCAGATTTGAGTGGAAAGTTTTGTTCTTGCAGCTGCATTTATAAAATTCTTGACTCAAATGTTGTTTAACTACTCCAGTACACTTTAAGAACTGCTGTGTTGTCATCATACTGTCCCATGGGGCTGAGGTAAGACATGTTTTCATTTTCCTATCAAATGCTACATCTCTGACCTACTCAAGTTCAGACCCAGATTACCCGTAACACCTAATGTATGCTCACATTTATGTTTATAGGTGAGTCACAGCCGCTTCCCTGGTGCTGTGTATGGTGTGGACGGACAGTATGTCCCAGTTCAGCACATCACAAACTACCTCAATGGCCAGCATTGTCCATCGTTACAGAGCAAACCCAAACTTTTCTTCATCCAGGCCTGTGGAGGAGGTAGCTAACATTTAACACACTGTTGAATAACTCAAACTAACAATCCTACAACATTTAAAGCTTATGCATGCACTTAAAGTGGTCTCATAGGGCAACATTTGTTTTTGTCCTTGAGGTGAAAAAGACACAGGATTTGAGGTGTCGCCTAATGAGGTCCAACCATCCATCGGTGGGACTGATGATCAGATGGACGCCATTCCAATGTCGTCCAGCAGTGACTCTCTGAGCATGTCCGATGAACCGGACGCCAGAGCCACACTGCCCACCCCGAGTGACATTCTGGTGTCCTACTCTACTTTTCCTGGTGTGTTTGTGTCTCAATGTCTTTGTGTTGCATTCATGCGTCTGTGTTTATTTTGATTAATAACACACTTGTCAAGTCAGAGCTATAGATAGACTTGACTTGCAATCTTCCTAATGCCCCTTTGACAATGTGACAAATACAGGTTACGTGTCTTGGAGAGACACCCAGTCGGGTTCCTGGTATGTCGAGACACTGGACTATATTCTTGAGGAAAATGCTGCTACCCATGACTTGTCCACAATGTTGATGATGGTGAGCTTCTTATTGTACTACTTATTGTAACAAAAGTAACTGGGGCTCTTTTTTTAAATTCCCTTGACCATTTAGAGCTTTTTAATTTAAACATAGACACATCTGATTATTGACTGTCCTTATTTCCAGGTCAACAATGAAGTCTCCCAAATCTCTGCAAAAGGGCTCTACAAGCAAATGCCTGGTTCCTTTAACTTCCTCCGCAAACTTCTCTATTTTCAAAGCCAGCCATAAACGAAGAGTTCATTTAACACTTCTTAGTTTCACTTTCAGGGAATGCTATGTATGTATGGTATGGAGTAAAATTTCTTGGGCTTATGTCTCTGGCAGAGTTGCAAAGTGAATGAATTTGCTTAATTGTGGTTGTACTTTTTAGTGGCTTAATCATGTCTTACTGTACATTTCTGTTGTTTGTCGTGTCTTGCTGTTTTTCAATTAAGGTTTTTAACTTTAATTGTTTTTGATATCCTTGCTGTCTTATCAACACATAGCAGCTGTACATTTTCAAGAGTGGACAATCAACATAATGTTCAATGTGTACTCTGCAAATCTATATAAAATACTTTGGTGACTCTCATTTCAGGTCTCTTTAATGCACTGATTTTGTTAAGAAGTGACTGAATGTAGAAGCATTTCATATTCTTTGACTGATCTTCTGCCCATTTATACAGCTATTTTCTACAGATGCTTCATCCAGCTGGTAGCATTCACTGTGCTACAGTTACTTTAATGCAGTAATGAGTGATTGAGTGAGTCGTCTGACATTTTCACCACCATATGTCATGTCTAAATCTAATAATGTGTACATACTGTTCCAGTGGTTAGAGTCCACTGGACGGATAGCCACTGGAACAATACTGCAAGCACAGCAACAAAACACATTCGGCTTGTGCTCATAGACAGTTCCTTAACATATTGGTGAGGGCATAACCATTCTGTAATAAAGGGCTGTCCCAGCCTGAAGTACTTCTCTCAGTAGTGACACACATTAATCTTCACCCACCAGTAGTATTAGCATTGACACCTTTCTGAAAGTTGGAGGAAAATTATACAAATAACATATGTATTACACTATGTTAGAATTAACATAGAATCTGTTGGCATCATAAGTGTGCTAGTGTTGCTGCCTGTGCTAGCACTGAATTACATTATGTGAGACTGATAGACACTGCAAGTTAAACATTATTGTACTGTACTACACAAAATACTTGAGATCTCACAGATGCCCTCTCTTGAGTCTTTTACTTCCCCACACTGCCACCGTGGGTCTCCATAAAATTTGAAATTTAGTAAAATGTGTATTTCAGTCACCTCAGATCAACACACACTATTTCAAAAAATATTTCCAATATCCTAAACAATTAAAACACTATCATGAGATAAACATCTCCATGATCATACCAAATCGGGGTCCCCGGTAGCATTTAGGTATTTAGGGAACTTTAACATGAAAACACTGGGAGTCCCTTTGTTGGTAAGATAGAGTCAGCCCCGTATGGCTCTAATTCTTCAGTTAGGAAACCTTTAATTAATTCAGCCATTGTCTTGCCTTATTATCATGTTTTTAGGTCTACAGAAAAACAGAAACTTTATACATTACAAATGCCAAATACAATTCAGTTTCTAAATATGGCAGGATGGCAATGCGCGTCTGTCGGTCCACTGACTGGCTGGTTGATTCCCCGGTAAAATGTCTCAACAACTATTGGATGCACTTACGGATTTCCATGAAATTTGGGAAAGATTTCCAGGTTGCCTGGAGGATGAAGCCAACTGATTTAAAGGTTCAGTGTGTAATATTTAGGAGGATGAATTGACAGAAATGCAACAGAAGGTCCATAACTTTGTTTTCGGTGATGTATAAAGACCTTACATAATGTTATGTTTTTATTACATTAGAATAAGCCATTTTCACCTACATACACGTCCATTTACGTGGAAATTGCCATGTTGCACCGCCATGTTTCTACAGTAGCTAACATTTAACACACATTTAACAGTGTGTTAAATGTTAGCTACATCCAGTCAACATGGATGCATCTTTGTAGAAGCATTTTCATCAAGCTATTTTACCATATTTGCTCATATTAACATTATACAATGTGTATCAGGCCAATTACTTGGCTATTTTTTTGTTTTGAAATTAAGAAAGACCTTTACCTAAAGCTGTTTTTCTGTGTGAATCCATCCATCCATCGCCAACCGCTTATCCTGCGTACAGGGTCGCGGGGCTGGAGCCTATCCCAGCTTGGGCGAAAGGCGGGGTACACCCTGGACAGGCCAGTCCATCGCAGTCTATGTGAATCTAATGAGAATTTTTCTGGTTACCAAATAATTATTTATATTATTATTAAACTGTTAATAACTCTGGGTCTTAAATCGTCTTTGGAATTTCTGTTTTTCCTTCTTTTTCTCCTCTTTTGATATTTGTTGTTCTGTTTGACAGTTTTTTTTCATTCTGTGTTTCTTTGCTGCAGTGGCTTTGTTTCTTTCCCAACAAAAGAAATCCATATTGTTTGCACTCTTTTTGGCCAATTAACTCTTCAGTGGAGCCAACCAGGATTTTGCTCCCATGTCTGCCCCAATCAGGTTATGCCTCGTTTGTTTTTAGTCTTTGTTTTTGTTTTGTTTTTGACAACCACTGCATTCCAGGTTCTCATGTCAAAAGAGCATTGGGAAAGCATACCATTTGTGCCAATTGTCTCCAGTCATCCTGACAAAAACATTGCCTCAAGTTTTCCAAAACAAGTCCTGCATAGGATTCTCTGCACTCACATCAGATTCTCTGTCATAAATGTGCTTTATTTTATTTGTCTTATAGTAAACCTTAGCTCAGATGTGCACTGTGCTCTCTTGTATTTTCTGAGAACACACCTGCTATAGTTATTTCAGTCTGTCTGAAGCAGTCTGTCTCTAAAATCTGCTGCCTGTTGCAGTCTGATTGTGGTAAAAGCAGCATTTTAGTTCTATAGCACATGATAATAGTTTATTATCTTTATTTATCAAATGTTAATTATAATACAAATGTTTGTACTATTGTTTTTGTTGTCTGGTTATATGTTTTATTTTTTAACAGTGTTCGCCTTTTGATGCAATACACATGTCAGACAAAGCAGGCATCAAAATTAAATGTAAAATTGGCTCCCTGACACACTGTTCACATCAGACTTCACTAATCTGAGCATTTATGGTCACACAAGCAACTAAGGAGAAAGTCACAAGGGTATAAGGACATGAGAACATCCATTTTGTATTACTGTTGTTTTCTGCTTGTAGAAATATCTTAATCTTGAGTTGTATTGCACACAATGTACCTCTCCAGCACAGAGTAGAGAAAAGAGCTGTCCGCCTAGAGGGCATGAGGGGGAGCGCACAGCATCCCAAATAAAAAACACTCTGACAAAACACTCAATACAGATAGAGTCATGGAAAAACGAGAGACGTCCTACAGATATAAATAAATGAAAGATAAGGAGTTAATAGATAATTAGATATTAATTATATTATAATTAGAACATGTTCTCTTTAAAATTCAACATTTTCAGATTTGAGTGGAAAGTTTTGTTCTTGCAGCTGCATTTATAAAATTCTTGACTCAAATGTTGTTTAACTACTCCAGTACACTTTAAGAACAAATCAGAACAAAGGGTGTAGCACAAAAATCCGGGCCCTGTACAATATCTTTTGTGGATCGGATAGCTAGACAGGGGAGACAGCTGTTGCAAGTGCACTATTTACGGTGCTATCAGCAGCCACAACCCATTTTTTTGTGAATTTTCCATTCAATATTTATTCATTTCAATCTAGGGCAGTATGTGTTTATAGTGAAAAACAAACCAGACCTGACTCCAGTGGCTCCTATTCAACTGGCTATCAATTCCAAAATGATAGTAACATGACAATCCCATGAGGTGTGGCAGACATCCAGTCTCAGGGCAAAGACTAAAGAGGTTGGAGCAGTTTGAAGTCTTTAGCAAACCATTCAAAACATACATACAGACAAACAGGGAAACTGAAGAAGCCTGGGAACTGAGAGGAGCAGCAGTCTATTAAAATATTGGCTATACCTAGTTTTTACAGTAAATTTTAAAAAATACATTTAGAATTACATTAGGAAAGCTAAATGTGTACCAATAACTATTTTATCTGTCTGCATTTAAGATTGCTTTGTATGTGTTTCAGAGCACAAGCCTGTCTCCCAAAAAATTGCCTTTATCTATTTAGTGAAGCCAGCCAATTTTAATTGTGCTGCAGCTTCTTGGCTTAAACAAAAATACAGTGTTTTACAACACTATTACTGTTGTTTTCTGCTTCCAGAAATAACTTATTCTTGAATTTTATTGCACACGGTACCAGTCCAGCACAGAGCAGAGAGAAAACAGCTGTCTGCACCCAGATGCATGATGGTACACAGTCATATCATCCCAATTAACAAACACTCATTACACAGTGAATCATAGAAAAATGTGAAAAATCCCGCAGATAGAAACGACTGAAAGCGGAGTTAATATGTAATTCAATTAGCTAGAATTAGAATGCGTTTCTTTCAAACCAAACATTTGAAGACATGAGTGGCAAATTTTGTTCTTGCAGCTGCATTACAGACATTTACAGAAAATTGCAGATATATATTAAACAGAAACAAAACAAGGGCATATTGCACTCAACTGCAAAACATTATGTACCCTAAGACGGGGCAGATAGTGGTTGCAAGGGATGCACAGTTCATGGTGCTATCAGTAGCAGCAATCCATTCTTTGTGAATTTGCATTCAGTATTTATTCATTAGATCTAGCAAACCTGAACCTGACTCCAGTGGCTTGTATTCAACTGGCTATCAATTCCAAAATGATAATAACATGACAATCCCATGAGGCACGGCAGATATTCAGTCTCAGAGCACAGACTGAACAGGTAGAGCAGTTTGTCTTTGGTGAACCAGGCGAAACATACAGGCAAACAGAAACTGAAGAAGCCTGGGAGCTGAGAGGAGCAGCAGTCTATTATAATATTGGCTATTCCTAGTTATTTTTTGTTTTTAAAGGCTTTCATTGGCTAGCTCCAGCCTGTTGCTGATCTATTAAAGCTGCTCCTTCAAGGTCATTAAAGTGAGCAGACCAGTTACTCCTTGTTGTCCTTATAACAGGGCTCAAGAACAGGGGGGATCAAGCTTCTCAGTTGCAACCCCTGTGGAATGAATTGCCTCTTCGTGTCTTGGCTAGCCTCCAGCCTTCCAGCACCAAAAACTCACCTCTACTCCTTGGCTTTTGACCCAGTTTGAGAGTTGTATGTTGCCATTTTATGGTCATGTTTGTTTTGTATGGATTTATTGATTGGATATTGATTATTTGATTCATGTCAATGTAGAGCACTTTGGTCTACCTAGTTGTTTTTAAATGTGCTTTACAAATAAAGTTTGATTGGATAAAATTAATGCAATTTAACCATTTAAAAACATTGGCTTAAACAAGAATACAGTGTTTTACATTTGTTGAAACTTGAGGAGATAAAACACTAGATGATTTGTTCGAGCTTTTGGAAGAAGAACAAAGTAATTTGGCAAAAAACAACCCTGAAGACTGAATTACTGGCATGAGATACACTGGGAATCAAAGTGCTGATGTCAAATTTTTTTATCAAATTTAGGAGACAAAAGCTTTGTTGTGATTTACTGCTGTAACTACAGAAAATGACGAGACAGCCAGGCACAAATCTTCTCTCTCTTCAGAAAATTATTTAAAGTAGCCAAATTTGAAAGTTTCATAGATTTCACAAATGCATAAAGATGGACATCAACATAGAAAGGATAAGATTTGCAGCCATAAAGGACGTGAAGGGAGAATAAGTAAGGTCCCAGGATTGATCCTTGAGGAGTTCCACAGGTCAGAGGAGCTCAATCAGATGACGTGCATATGGGAGAGAGCACAGAGTTACAGCATCCAAAATAACAATCACTCTGACAAAACACTCAATACAGAGTGAGTCATAGAAAACAGAGAAACATCCCTCAGACAGAAATGAATAAAAGATCAGGGAGGAGTTAATATAATTAATTAATTACAATAAAAATTAGAATACATTCTCTTTCAAATCAAGCATTTTAAGATGTGAGTGGAAACTTCCATTCATAATGTTTTTTGACTCAACTGTTGATAACCATGATATATGCTAATTAAGTACACTACAAGAACAAATATTACCGCAGGTGAACATTTAACAGATGCGAAATGAGAGCAAGTTGCTTTTATAATTGTCTATTTTATTGTTGTTTTTTAATGTGTGTTTCTTATGTGTTTCTTTTTCTGCAAATTCTATGTGTCTCTGTTTTCTGTAAAGTGTACTGGGACCACACAGCTGGTGATTTTACACTTTAATAAACTTTAAACTTAAATATTCATCTGAAGTCAATCTTTTATCTGATTTTTGCAGATCCTGTTATCACTCAAGTAGAAACTGAAATCACAACATCCATCCATCCATCCATCCATCCATCCACCCATCCACCCATCCATCCGCCCATCCATCCATCCATCCATCCACCCATCCATCCACCCATCCACCCATCCACCCATCCATCCACCCACCCATCCATCCATCCATCCAACCACCCACCCATCCACCCATCCATCCGCCCATCCATCCATCCATCCATCCATCCGCCCATCCATCCATCCATCCATCCACCCATCCATCCACCCATCCACCCACCCATCCATCCATCCACCCATCCACCCATCCACCCATCCATCCATCCATCCATCCGCCCATCCATCCATCCATCCATCCACCCATCCATCCACCCATCCACCCACCCATCCATCCATCCAACCACCCATCCATCCATCCACCCATCCACCCATCCATCCGTCCATCCATCCATCCGCCCATCCATCCATCCATCCATCCACCCATCCATCCACCCATCCATCCACCCATCCATCCATCCATCGTCAACCGCTTATCCTGTGTGCAGGGTTGCGGTGGGGCTTGAGCCAATCCCAGATGACATCGGGTGAAAGCAGCACGTGTCTTCTGTTAGTTTGAAATGAGGTATTTTGCTATTGTGCGAATAATTTTCTTCCAAAATCTAAAGAAATGTGCACAAGCAAAGCTTCATGAATCCCATTAAATCATGAGTATAAAAAGATTCCGGTTAAGCTCCACTGCAGTGACTCTCAGTGTCTGGTGTTTCTAGGTCTTTCTGAAAGTCCAGACAAAAAAACAACACCAGATGCATTAGAGTGTTCAGGAAATTAAATTCTGGCTTTAATTGTGTGTTCACATTTTACATATATGGATAAGAGCCAATTGCACAAGGTCAAGCTATTATCTTTCACACAAAGACAGTTCCTGATCGAGCACAATAAATACACGTGTGTCTGTTCCAGCCACCATCAGTCCTACTGTTCACCTCAGACGGGATCTTCTAAAACCATGCTTCGCTTCAGACTCTGCACCACACTGTGTGAGTACACAACTAACAATTATATGGGTTCATATAAAAAAAAGTGAGATTTCTCCTACTAAAAGCTTTAATATCTGTTTAGAGTTACAGGGTGCTGGGTGGCGTCATCTTTGAGACTGTGTGTGCCTATGATTGTACAAACCTTGTTGCACTTTAAATTTTCAGGCACATAAACGGGACGCTAGGAGTAACAGATATCTCAGTTTATGAGCGGAATTGCCATAAAAACAGTCGCACACCTGATTGATTAAATGTTTTCTTATTTATAATAATCATCGTATTTTTTCTACTTACCTGCCAATAAGACATTCTGTTAAGCAGTGTCATTTTCAGTTTGACATTATTACCTTTAACATTTCAATGATTGCATTTTAAACATCTAATATCATGATGAGGTTTGGGATGAGGGGATAGAGAGGAACAAAGATGGTTCCATTAATGCCAAACTTCCTCTAGTACTGTTTAAGGTCATGCATCACATTACAATTTCAAAGACCAGATTTACTAGAAACTTCTCATCAGTTTTTGATATTGGTGACAAATGGAAATCAGGTGAGAGGACCCTGACTCATAATATGTGGTTTTACCCTGAAGTAAAGAAAAATGATAGGTGGAAATATTTCATTTACTTATATGACAGTTTTGGGTTGTTGAAAGCTCCCTAAAACTGCATATGAGAAGGCTTTAATGTTTTGTATGGTTATAGCTAAAATGGTTATTTTGAGAGAATGTAAATCTACCTCTCCTCCTTTATTAAGTGGCCCAACGACATGATTTTTTTTTAGAGATTAGGTACTCCTCATCTGACTGTTTCTGAGTTTTGTTAAGATTTGGGGTCAGTTTACTCATTATATCATAAAGAAAATTGACTGGGCTAGAACTTAGTGGTGTGGGACGATTTACGGTACCTTTTTTTATGTACAATCACATGTTGAATGTCTGAGTTACAGGTAAGAGAAAGGTGAATAATGGAAATTATTCTTTGACATATATTCACAGCTTTTGCACAGCAGACTTTTTGACATGTCATCATAGCAGCAAAAGCACAGGTGTTACTAATAACATTAATTAGGTCAATTTACATGATTTACGTGCTATGATGCTCTCACTGTCACATTGTCATGACTTACTGGGATGCTTAAATAGAACAGAGCCATCGTTACTGTTATTAGTAACATTTGTGCTTTTATTTTTAATTATTTAACGCAAGACCTTGTAAGTTGTGCTAATATTTGGCTGACACAGTGTGACAATGATATTTCTTTTCCAGTGCGGGCAGCAATATATTTCGTCATGACAGCAGGTAAATATCTGAGTGAATGTGGTAGAGAATGCTTGCATTTATTTTATTTACACAGGCTGTGGCATGAACACACTTCAACTTGAATTTTCATATTTGTTATTTTAGTTGTTTCCGCAGAGAGAGTTATCACCTGTGCCGACGTCCAAAATGTCCAGCGCCTGAGCTGTGGTATGACTGAACTGCGCCACATTGTCTTTCAGATAAAGTATCCACTCTCTATACGCACCAATGGCAGAGAGTCCCCCATCCCCATCTTTTCACAACCACAAACCTATACATACAGAGGCTTTGACTTTTAAAGTTTACTATGAAAGAAAACATTTTTATGTTTATGTAATCAAATATATTAAACTCTAAATCTTTAGAAGAACACTTTCCCCATGGTTTGGTTTCTTATTGTCTACCTCGGTGTGTAACAGATATGGGAGTGATCAATGTGGAGGCAGCAATGTACGGACGTGCAAACAGCGAGACCTGCAGTGAGGGCAGATCTGTAGAACAGCTTGCCAACACGGAGTGCTCTCAAAATGGCACAGTGGAAATCCTCAAGAGAAGGTACACATAACATGAACAGCGACAGAGTAAAAAATATACATTTTGCACAATGTATTCTTGATGTGGCTGCTGTCATACCACGCTGTACCATCGGTGCCTAGTTCAGATAGGGTGAACAGAAGAATTGGGTGGTTCACCGTGTCAAAGGCCAGACTGGTTTGGATCAAGTCGAACATTTTGAGAGACTTATAAACTGCTCACTCCTTTGCATTTATTATTATATTATACTGTATATTAACATGAGTGGTATCTCAAACACTCGAGTCTTCGTTTCACACAATATATTGCAGTTGTTTGGGGATTAAATAGTAAAGTCTCTGATATTAGTCCAAATTACTATAGTATTCTATTAACACCAGAAACTAGTGTTAGGTTTGTGTTGAAAACATGCTCTTACGGTTTTTCCTATAGGTGTAACGGCAGGAGGGTGTGTGAATTTAACACAAATGTTGTTCGTACCTCCGATCCCTGCCATGGCATCTACAAATATCTGGAAACCAACTACACCTGTTTCCCAGCAAGTCAGTCACATGTCTGCATGAAACAGTGAAACACAGCTGGACGTTTTATAGTGTGGTGTCTAATGTGATGTCATTCATGTTACTTCGACAGTTCATCTTGTTACATGCGAGCACTCTTTGGCACATTTGTATTGTGGTAAGATTACATTTTTTTCATTTATGGAATATTAATGTGATAACAGTTAGCACGATTGCATTTCCACTGTATCTGAACACTAATCTCAGTATTTCACGACTTGCTTCTTTGGTTGCCTACTTCTAAACTGCATTTCTGTCCTCTCTGCCTTGCCAATTCTTCATCTTTTTAACAGATGATGGTCAGGTCATATTTGTCTACGGTGCTAACTACGGACGTCGTGACGAGACCACTTGCTCTTACAAAAAGACTGCCTCTGAGACTGAAAATGTCTACTGCTCAGATCCCACTAGCAAAGTTGCTGAGAGGTACAGTTGCATGCTCTTTGGTAAATATAAGGAAAACAAGACTTAAAAAGACAATTTGCTATTGGCACAGGTAGATAAGTTCATATTTTTGCAAGATTACTTTAGTCCATTACGAAGAAAGTCAAATAGGCAAGAAAGGGATCACAAAGGGAGGTATTTTCTATGCTCAAGTAACACCCAAGGCCAAGTACAAGCCACACAATATGTACAAAAAAATACATAGATGTTTTGTGTGTTTGGAGCATGCACACCAGTGAAGTGTTAGTTCAGTTTACAGACTGTGTTGTATTGCACCAAAAAGATATATTACTGCTGATGGAAAGGGAATCAGCTTTATATAACACATATTATGCAGATTTGAAGATGTTAATTGCGTTCACTTTCCCCTTCTTTAAATACCATTTTGTATACTCCAAAGTGCATTCAAGCCTGTATTCACTCACTCTGCGTCCACAGCTGTAATGGGAAAAACAGCTGTACTATCAGCGTAAGCAGCTCAGAGTTTGGAGACCCCTGTGTCGGCACCTACAAGTACCTTGAGGTGGCTTACGTATGTGAATGTAAGTATTGTCACTCTGATGAACAGCCAAATGGGCGGTGCAGGGTGCGGGAATGACATGGCATGATACAGAGATATGTTCATACAATTTTGATGATAAGAAAGCCATGATACCATCAGTCACTTATTTGCCTGAATTAAATATTTTCTGTTCTTTTACAGATCCTGGCCTCAGTCCAGAGCAGTACTGAAGTTTCAGTCATCACAATAAACATGCTATGAATTAAATACATTTGTCAGTTTGTTATTTTGTTACAGTTTGATGCATCTTCTGTCAGGCAAACCGATCATTCTTGGATGTTCTTGACCCCCTTTCTTTCATACTGCCCGTCTCTCTAAGAAGCTGCCCACTCCACAACCACACACACAACCTGTCATTTCGCCTACTCCTGTTGCATAGGAAGTGATGCACTATCCAAACTATTTGGTAGCTAGCATTAGCAGCTGTAGCGACAATGTCTGAACAAGGAAAACAAACCTCCAGCCACTCAAGCTACACAGCAAACAATGTGTGTGGCATATGAAATACAATAAATAAACTTATGAACAACGGCATCAAGTCTCATTCAGACATTATTTTCTGCTGCTTAAAGAGAAAATGGCATTACTGTAAGTTGAGATATCTCCAAATCTTCCAGTACTACAAATAAATGACCTGTCCAAGTTAATGTCAGAAACATTAATTTGACCAAAGGACAAGTTGCCTTCAGTTAGAAAATAATAATAAAAAAAAGGATACTTGGACATACAGTAAGCTTGTTGTGCTTTCAGGAAGCAACAGGATTTATTACAGATGTGGTTCAAAATGTTGTACATTAATCAGAAATGTTAACATTCGTCACCAGGCAACACTCATTACTAAAAATCAAACTGCTGCTGGATGTTATTTTCATCATAAAAAATCCTATAGGATCTGATTTTATGTGCTCCCTGAAGTAAAACGGATGTCAGTTTGTTGTATGTTGTCAAAATGTTAGCCTTAATGTCCCACAATATTAATCTGTTAAAATGACTTCATGTAACACGTGAGTGAGTGTAAACATCAGAGGACATCCGCAGCACGACTACCAAATAACGGTCAAGTTGCTGACATCTTTGGAAAGGTCGGTCTTTGACGGGTAAACGACCTTCAGGTTCCCGTCGTGGTCGACCGTTCGGACCTGCTGGACGATCAGTTCGCTGGAGATCTCGCGGCTGGCGGCCGGCTCTTGCGGGCCTTCCCCTTCTCCGTCCGACCCCGCCTCCTCCTGATGCTCTGCTGTGAACTTGTTCAACTCCGCCATTTTCTGTGCGGAAACAGGACATATCGTTAAAATGCCTGCACTATTTGTTATTGCATTTAAGAGATGGATTTAAACTGTATTGCAAAACAAATTGTGAAAAAAAATGCAGAACTATGTGACACTCAATCTACCGTATTAAAAAAATGTGATTGTCTCTGTTTTCTTCAAATATATCTCTTAGATGAAAACTCCTGATGTCTGAGGATTAGGTTCAAAACTAAAGCTCAAAATGTACTATTCAGTATACTTTCTAAAAAACATCAACAACTTTCAAAACCTGCTTAGAATTAGTGTGGACACACTAACATTTTGTTGAATATCCAGCTGGATTGAACAACAATGACTGGAATAATGTTTGTGTATTTTTTGTACGCCTCCTCATGTCAACATAACAAGTAGTCTGGGACATAAATGTCTCGTAGTGTGAGCAGTGCAGTATTTCTGGGATTCTGAAAAGGTTTATCCTTGGCGTAACTCCGCCTACAGGGCCAGCACCAGCTGTAGTGAGCCAATTTGCTCTTCCACCAGCAGGGCCTGAACACTGTAATATTAGTCCATCTGTTAAAATGTTTGTCCATGAGCTTCAACATCTTCCACATCAAATTAGCAACAAACTACTGAACAAATCCAGATTATCTATATGTGACATCTATCACAAGTGGTGTCTGTATTTGAAATTTTCCCATGAACAGTTATGACAAAAGCCCAGTCTTGGACCCAGATCAATTTAAAGAAAGATAAGGATGTTAGAACACCACAGAAACAATGGCCAAAACTGTGAAAATAAAAGTTGCAAAGTTCCAATAAACTTGACTTATTCTTTAATGATAGAGAAAAGAGAGAAAAAGAGACGCTTACTACAATCAGAGCGTCCATAATATCTTTACAGGTCTGCAGGCTGGATGCACTCGTCACTTCCAAGAACAGCTCTTTGGTTGTCTTCTTGATCTGTAAAGTGCAATCAGCAGATCAGGTAATTATTTCTGTTGTATCATGAAAAGACACTAAGATAAGATCAGCTGTGTTAATGGATTCATTTTTTTTGTTGTTAACAATTGTACAATATGACAGCATTTAATATGTAATCATCTCTTCTGAAAGGACACAATAATGACAACCACAGTAAATTAGACACACACACCTTGGTTATTTCACTGTTGGTAATAGGTGGGAAAGAGATCACCTGCCCCTCTGCATCCACTAGGCAGGGATAGAGTGCTTTACCTTGCAAAATCTGCAGGTATCTGTAAAAAAAATTAAATAGCAGTGAGACTATATGAGAGAGACAACATAATAAAAAGGACTTAGGCAAATGCAATAGATGCACAGCAGGTGACATTCTTTTGCTTTTCTAACTTTTTACAAGCCAGGCATGTCAATTATCAAAATCAACAATTTAAACACTGGTCAATTCTTATTAATGCACACTGATTTCAACTACCTGCAGACACAATATGGGCTTATAAAGATGATGTGTTCAAGATGTTAATAAAACCAATGGCTCATTAAACACTGAGGTTGAAATAAATCAGACTAAAGCTGTGGTCCAACATCCTTATACTGCCCCCATGTGTTCAAACAAATCAATAAGCAAGTTATACAGATGACATGTGCATCTCTTTAATACTTGTGTCTTTTATATAAAGCTCTGTTTTATTTTGAACATCAGTTCATGTGAGATCAACATAAAGATTTTAACCAAAAAGCTTGTGAGTTATTTGTACTGACTTGTGGAGACCAGTGACGTTCTGCCTCTTCTTGTGCTTCCTCAGCTCGTCAGCCTCCAGCTGAAGGTGTCTTATCAGCTCGACGGCCGTCATCTCTTTCCGACCTAGCGGCACAATCTAACAAACATTGTGTTTTTTGGATCTTTTCAGTGACAACTGCAATGGACCACGCAGCAACTGAAGCAAACTTGAACATGACAATATTTATTTTATTTGATTGCTGCAAATGAAAGATTTTTAGCCTTAGCATACCTTCAACTGGGTAGGTGGTTTGACATCATACATCAGGGGAGCTTTGAGAAGTTGCACATCGTGAGATGCAATGGTTGCAGTGGTCCTTTTACCACACAGGTCATCGTGAAGCTTTGTCTAGAAAAACAACAGGTGAATCTTTTTTGGGACTACACTGGACAATTTGTTATTTTATTAGTCATCCACCACTAAAATGGTCCAATGTATGCCACCTTGTGAGGGGCTTGACCTTACCTGAGCCACCAGGAATCGTTTGAGAGCATTCCCAGGCTTCAGGTTCATGCCTCTGACCACGCAGCACACCAAGTAGGGTCGAACATCTTTCACCGCTTCACTCACTTTGACTGTGAGTGCTGTAGGAGCGTCCGAAACATGGAGAACCCTCACCACCATCTTGTTCAGTTCCTCCAACTCATCCTGTTCGCCTGCCACCTTCTCCTTCTTCTTCCTCTGCTGCTGCCTTTTCCCCTTGTCTGTGTTGCGACCCCCGTCCACGTCGCCTCCATCCTCCCCCTGTCTTACTTTTCCTTTTCCTCTCAGGTAGTCAAGTATGGACTTGGTCTGGCAGCCGTTGACCATCTTCTCCAGACGTTTGTCGTTCAACTTGTTGCTTTTGAAGTTGATCTCCTTAAGCTTGGGGCAGTCACTCAGATCGGAGGGGATCTCGCTCAGCTTATTGTTAGAGAGATCCAGCACCTGGGAAGACGGGCATGAGGGGGACAAAAGCAAGTGCATAAGTGCATTCACTTTGGGCCTAAGAGCATCAGCTGACCCAAAGTAAGAGTTGTGTAAAGGAAAAAACACAAAAAGACAAGGGTATACTGAACTTAAGCTTGCACAGATCTATACTGATCAGTCTCTGGAGTGAAGGTTAACGTTACTCGCCAAATTCTGTTTAAAAACCTGACATTTTTGTGGTGTATTACACACTGGTAAATGTAAGACCTCGTTAGCTATAATTTAAGATACACATCGCAAACAGTGACAGCTCCTCTGATATTCGGGCTTCATTTAATCCACCCAGAGGCCATTTCCTTAAACAAAATCGCCTCGTAAAGAGGACATCTATCAATATTCAGTAACGTTATAAAGGAGCTGCTTGGTGTATGGAGTGTAACGTGACCGTGTGACGAATTCAAAACAGTGTACCAGCAATTCAAACAACATTTAAAACCATGTTGTCCGGCCCACCTTTAGAGCTGCTAGCTTGTGAATATCTCCACTCAGCTGTTCAATGGCGTTGTCGGAAGCGACCAGTGTGCTGAGGAGATCCAGTCGCTCGGAGTAGAAATCAGCGGGGAAAGCGGTGATGCGATTCTTGGAGATGTTGATGGTGGAGAGCTTGGTGCACTGACTCAGTCCCTCTGGTAGGACCTCCAGGCTGTTACAGCTCACATTGAGAGTGTTTAGCTCCTTTAACTGAGTGATTCCCTCTGGTAAAACCCTTAGGTTGTTGACTGAAAGGTCCAGGACCTTCAGGGACTTGAGGTTACCGACGACATTCGGGATGGATGTCAGCTTGTTTCTGCACAGGATGAGGCTCTGAAGGTTTGTCAGATGTTGGATGTCCTCGTGGATCTCTGTCAAACTCGGGCACTGGCTAACTTCCAGATAATTCAGCAGGGTGAGGGAATAGATAGCTGAGGCGAGTCCCTGTTAGAGGAAATTCTCCCGTCGATAGTTGGACCCTGTAAAACCAGTTCACGTCTCTTCCCTGACGCTGCTTTCTCTATTTCTGGCCATTT